ATATATATATATAGATATAGATATAGATATACACACACATATAATTTCACACTTACAGTTTAGTCTATGAACTGTATAGGACTCCAGAACTGAAAGAGATCTTAGACTTCGCTTGTTTTTGTTGCATTCTAGATCACTTTCCTGGACTTGCACTCTGCCTCTTCTCTGGGTTGTAAGCTACCTGAAGACAGGGACGATATCTTCTATTTCTTTTTGGCCTTCCTAGCACTCTAGAGCCTTTAACACAGGGCTTTATACATGGTGGTACTCACCTAATTCCAGATAAACTGCATCCTCAGACAGGCTTCCCCTTCCATCTACCCAAATAAATAAGAGATCCAGTACTGCAGCTGAGGTTATCTCCTCTGCCCTCTACTTCACCCAAACATCTGAGAAGCAGTGGCCCTGGACCAGCTCTTACTGTTCTCCTCCGGCATTCCCCTGCTCTTCCTCCTTTCAGGCCTTGGTCCCAGGATATGGAGTGAGTGACTCCATGTCCTATGTGACACTCACTCTAGGATCTCGTTGTATTCAATTGTCTCCTCCAGGTTCTGAAGGTTGGGGTTGACACTGCGGATTGCACGCATGTATGCCTTTAGCAGCTGGATGTCTCGCTTCTGTGGAGGTGAAGCAGAACCAGGAGTGATGGTTAAAGCAGACAGCAGATAAAAGCCAAGAGTTTATCTGAGAATGAGGGCTGCTGAGAGATCTGAGGAACACCAGGCTACAAGCCTCTTCAGGAAGACAGGTATAGAGCGGTCTCATTCTTTGCTGCTTCCCCAGTGCTCAGCGAAGCTCCTTACACAGGAGCCACGGGATTGATGTGAAGTGAGTGAAAGCTGTGGGTGCTCTGGGTCCTACCTGCTCTGCCAGCTGGTGTTTGTGTTCAGCTGACGTCTTCTCCAGCTCTGCGATGCGTGTCTGCTGCTGCTGTACCACAGAACGCAAGTGCTTAATGCAGTTGTGGTTTGGCAACTCATCTTTGGGCATCTCCAGGCTGCAGTCCAGGTAAGGAAAGAGCAAAACCAACCCATTCAGTGAGACACATGGGAAAACAGTGTGTTCTTGGCAGAAAGCTTCTGAGTGGGCTTTCTTTTTTTCTTTCTTTTTTTTTTTTTTCTGAGTGGGCTTTCTTCTACTCTTAAATTTCTCTTTTGGGGCCAGGGAGATGGTGCAGTAGAATAAGCGCTTCCCTGGCAAGGGCTTATTCCACTAAGCCATCTCCCCGGCCCCTCTCTCTTTTTTTCAAGACATGGTCCCTCTGTGTAGTTCAGGCTGGCCTTGATCTCACTATGTAGTCCAGGTTGGCCTTAAACTCACAATGATCTTTCTGCCTCAGCTTCCCAAGGATTACAGGCATGTGCTACCATACCAGGCTTAGTTGCTGAAAGACCCTAGATTTACTGCCCTAACTACCTACCAGCATTTAATCAAGTATTTCACACCTCTCTGAAAGAAAAAAATAGGGCAAGAGGAAATATGAAATCTGGAAATTAGAGCAGTCAGCCTCACAGATAGTAGTACAGGACCCTAACGAAAGAACGAAGCGAATCAATCTTTAGCTTTATCACACAGATTGTTGAACTGCTCTCCTCCTCTTTAAAGCAAGAGCAGGGGCCGGGGAGATGGCTCAGTAGAATAAGCGCTTGCCTGGCAAGCTCAAGGGCCTGAGTTCAATCCCCAGTTGCGCAAAAAAAAAAAAAAAAAAAAAAAAGAGAGAGAGAGAGCAAAAAGATCATAGCTGGAAAAGTGACAAGGAGCTGAGGTCCTGGGGGAAGATCAGGAAGCACAGAAGGGCAGGAATGCTTAGCGGGCATGCAGGCAAAACGGGAGGGGGGAGGGGCTGATCCACAGAGGGCAGAGGGGAAGGACTCTCACCCGCAGCCCTGTTCACAGGTCACAGGCCGCTTCGGGTTGTGCTCACAGTCGCTAAGGTGAGACATGAGGTTATCGAGCCGGACAACGGCACTGCAACCAAACACAGCGTTGTCACAGGCAATCTGCAGCTTCGATAGCATGTTCCGCATGATCCGGGGCACTGGGCGGAGGTGGGCGACTGTCACGACGCTACGGTCCACGGGACACGTCTGCTGCTGAGAGAACCACTGAGTGATACAAGCATTGCAGAAGGCGTGCTCACAGTGAGGGGCCTAGAGAGGGCAGGGCAAGAGGGAACAGGGATTAGCAGGAAAAGAGAATATGGATATGCTAACTACAGTGCCAGTCAAGCTGCTGAGCGGCTTCTAGGACCAGAAGTCCCTGAGCTCATGATAAATTACAGATCTACTATTAGCAAGGCATTTTGGGGTCAGGCTTAAGATACGTGTCCTATGCTCAACATTACCAATGGATTGTAAGACAAGACAAACAAGTAAAAAGTTATATAACAAGAGATATAAATGACATTTCAGGACAATAGGAAAGATGACGCAAGGCTGTCAATTATTAATTGCCAACTGGATTGCATATGCAGTAATTGCCAAAAAAGTCCAGAGGGTGAGACTAGGTCAACCAAAGCAGATATTCATGAAGAGGGCAGAATTTGTTATAAGGCTTTTTTTTTTTTTTCAGCACTGGGGATTGAACTCAGGCCCTTGCGCTTGCCAGGGAAGTGCTTATTCCACTGAGCCATCTCCCCAGGCCCTGTTACAGGTCTTGAAAGATGATTCAGACTATAGATATGGAGAAGAGAGGGGCAAAGATTTACAGGCAGAAGATCAAGGTAAGAAGGGAGAACAGGCTAGCCACATGGCCTGTGCCCGTGGCCAGTTGGGGAGCTGAAGTGGAAGGACTGCTTAAGCCCAGCAGCTCAGGACCAGCCCAGGCAACACAGCAATACCAGTTGCAAGAAAACACATAGAAAATTTAGAGCAAGTCTGGGGTTATTTTGTTTGTTGTTGTTTATTTGTTTATTTTTTGGAGCACTTTAAGATGTAGCCTAGGCTGGCTTCAAACTCCTTATCCTCCTGCTTCAGCTTCCTGAGCGCTGGGATTACAGGTGTGAGCCACCATGCCCAGCAAATGCTGAGACTTCTATTGAGAGATACGAGGACTCTATATAGTCACAATTTCCTATGAAAACTGACCTGAGGTGTTGCTTTGAGGCCCAACAGCCAAACCTAGGTTCCTAAATAGAGGTAGAATTTTTCTGTGGAATCATGTTTTTTTCAGGGTTTTTCCTCTCTTCCCCTTTCTTTCT